TCGTTTTCGTCCGACTGATTCTCTGTAGCTGTAAAGAAGGCTACAAAGTTTCCCACATTGTCATCTAACTGATCATTAGATGCTTCCTCCTCATCATCACTTAGCATAGCCACAGACATAACCTTCTTCCTCTTGAGATAAGTTGCACATTCAGCCTGTATGTGTCCAAAACCTTCACACTCTCTGCACTGCACTAACCGGTTGAGGGATCTCCCTATATCTGTGGAACTGTTTCTGTTTTGTCTTGTTCGACTAGTTTGGGATTGATTGTTCTGTGGGAAAGGTGAGGTTTCTGCTTTCTGATATGAGGAGTTGCTGCCTTTGTATTGAGTCTTGGTAGACTGTCCTTGACTCTTTTTGTTAAATCTTTTCAATATTTTCTTAAAATTCTGGTTAGAAGGGCCAAGGTTTCATCATCTATGTCGTCTGTGTCAGATTCTCGATCTGCTTCAGCCACAAAAGCCACTGACTTGCCTTTTCTGTTGACAGCAGGGTCATCATCAGCCAGCACTTCAAGTTCATATGTGTGTAAACTTCCCATAAGTTCTCCTACAGTCTTCTTTTCCCAGCCTGTGCGTTCCTGGATAGCAGTTACTTTCATCCGGAAGTGTTTAGGCAAAGATCGAAGGATCTTTTTGACTACTCTCTCATCAGTGAATGGTTCACCAAGAATTGAGGCTCTATTCATCAGATTCTGAACCCGGCTGTGAAAGACTGAGATAGTTTCCTCTTCGTTCATTCTAAGAGCTTCAAATTCTGACAGCACCATTTGTAGCTTTGACTGCTTGACATCACTGGTGCCCTCAAATCTGGTTTCAAGAATTTTCCATACCCTTTTTGCTTCTTTTACCCCCGTAACTAGGGTAAAGACAGATTCATGCAGGGATCCTACAATAGAGTTCAACGCTTTGTTGTTCAGATCAGAGGCATTCATTTCATCGTCTGTCCAAGTCTCCATGGGCTTTTCCCCAGTGGTTCCATCAGCATTCTGAATAGTCAGGCGACTCCACCCGGATAGGACAGTACGATAAACCCTGGTACCTTTGCTTGGAGATAGATCTCCATACAAGCCTTCCAGAAAGAGTAGTTGTGACCATCTAGTTCTGGTGGTTTCATACTTGCATCCATCCTGAACAAAAACAACCAGCCAACGAACACACAGAGGCACTTCCAATAGAAAGAGAGCAATCCAAAAAAAATTCTCGTACGGATCAAGTCACTATGTAGACTTAAAAGCTCTGATACCACATGTAATTTTGCATTTTCTCATTTTTAATCAAATTAACTTGATTATCCAACTGATGAAATGGACTGACTGATTCAACGATGAAGTCAGTCAGTAAGGCAGATTATTGAGATGTTTATAGAAAGAGATAACGACAAAAAGCAACACACAAGATGTTTACCCAGTTCGATACAGTGTGTATCTACGTCCGGGAGATGATCACATAAGCGTCCAATCCACTAAATCATAATCCAATGTACAAAGGTAGAGAAACAATAATCTCACCCATGTGTCCCACACAAGGTACGTACCCAGGCTACACAGGTTTAGTGGATGGTTGAAGATGGAGAGCCATGCATATAGAAGTCCAATGAAATCCCTTCACTTAGAGAGCCAACTCTGATGCAGTCCACTTCAATAACGCTCTTCTCGGTTGTTCCCACAACAGTGTGATCGTAGCGTCCTTTCGTTTAAGCAACAATAATTCTTCTCAAGTTCTTCATCATAATCACCATGAACATGTTGTATTAAGACGAGGCATGATAATCAAAGATCTGATCTCATAAAACTGTTTTGGAGTGTTTCTGCCTTCTTGAAAGCGTAACCCTAATTCTTGTCGAATAAGAGTACTTATAGTTCCATAGAAGAACACTCTCCATAGATATCTTTGATTGTAGATGGTAGGACAATATTTGAAGAATGTAATCTTAGAGATTCGGTCCATATCTTGGGATTTTTGAGTAATTAAAACATTAACAAATATTTTAAAAACAACTTGAATATATTTTTGAAATAAAAATATTATCTTGTCAGGCAAATTGACAATCAAATCAAATTGAAGACCTACTGTTACCAACAATATCAGGCTACAAAATTCAAATTTCAAATATCAAATTATCCCCCTCCAACGGATGTATTTGATTATCTATAAAAAGACCATGAAGACTCGAAGAAAAAAAAACACAACAAGAGACGGATGAACAAGTGCGAATTCAAAATATTCAAGTGCTAAATATTCATTGAAATATCTAGAAGAGAGACTTAGTCTGAATAGTCTCAAAAATAGTTGGAGAGAGATACAATTACTTTTGTATTTGTAATTGTAAAAAGAGTATAGCTATGTATAAAATACTCTAGTGAGTGTAGTTGTGTGCAAAACACTCGTAGTTGCTAAGTGTAGCTGTGTGCAAAACACTTAGTCGGCGTTTGAGTATAGCTGTGTGCGAAGTACTCGGAGTTGAGTGTAGCTGTGTGCGAGACACTCGGAGTTGAGTATAGCTGTGTGCGAAGTACTCAGAGTTGGGTGTAGCTATGTGCAAGACATCCGAAGAAGTGCATGTGTAGCACTCATTCACTATTGTAACTGTGTGTGGAAAATAGTGAATACTCCTCGACACAAAAGGAGTAAAGTGGACTAGGAAGATTACGCCACTTCCGAACCACTATAAATTGTCTCTCTCATTTACATACTGCACTTACTTAATTCGCATTATTTACTTATCTAGTATTTGACTAACCCGTTTATTATTCACTGCTTGATCATAATCATTCGGGTTTAGTGTGTTTTCACGTGTACATGTAACTCAAACTTTCCATGCTTAACCTTTAAATTATTCTAAGCAAGTTTGATGTGTTGCATGTGACATTTATCACACGGTTGATTTCGCACGAAGTCTTATATACAATCTTGAATAATATTGTTAAATATTGAGTGAATCATCTCCTTTAAATATTCAAGATATTCTTGTCATTCTTACACATCATCTGAGCATATCTAACGTTGTGCATGTGATTCAATTTCTAACTTGGGCATAACTCTTTACACATATTTATTCCGCTGTGCACTCCAAATTAAATACTTCTCTATTTACTTTTTATTTAGAGTTGAAATTACCAAAGAGTTATTTATTGTGAAAAAGTTTAAAAAGTCTATTCACCCCCCCCCCCTCTAGACTTTTTACCACCCTATCGGGACCAACAATTGCTATCAGAGCGGTTGCCTATTTGAGTCAATTTTGACTGCTAGACAGATCTCAAAAATCAAAATGATGAAAAGTGATATGGCTCTTGCCCAAAATCTATTATTTTCTCTAGAAAAATTTTATAATTGGAAAATTCGTATGCAGGTACATCTATCCGCATTACTTGATGAAATGTGGGAAGTAATTACAAATGGTCCTATTGAAATCTTGCAATTAAACACCGCATCCGTTCAAATAAGCGACACTCCACAATACATTCCAAAACCGAAGCTGGAATGGTCTCGTGAAGATAGAATACGAAATAACTTCGACAATATTGCTAAGGATATTTTGTTCAAATCTATCGACGATACGATATTTCCAAAAGTTCAAAAATGCCAATCCACAAAAAGAAGTTTGGAAAATGCTCATTCAAATCGGTGAAGGAGACGAACAAGAAAAAGGATAATAAGCTCACCATAGCATTAAATAAATTCGAGGATTTCAAAATGCTAAGCGGCGAGAATATTACCGACATGGAGACAAGATTTGCCAAAATCTTAGGAGAAATTAAGAGTTAATTCCAACAATGGTCCCTCGAGTATGGTGATTTTCCACAATTAGTCCTTGACTTTTAATTTGGACAATTTAACCACCCGACTATCAAAATCTTTCCAATTGTGGTCCTTCTGTCAGATCCTAGTTAAATGGACGTTAGCCTGAAGGGTAAAAGTGTCATTTCGGTCTTCCCTCCCTCTTCCGCCTTCTCTTCGTCGATGGTGCAGCAGAGCAGAGCAGACGACGTGGAGTGCGTGGCTGGGCCGTAATGAAGGCAGTTGGTGGTGGTCGTTGGTTCATTCTTTCTCCGCAGCTAAGCAGACAGCTTCCAAGCTCGACAATGGTGGTATGTAAGAACAAGAGGATCTCCAACGGGAAGAAGGGAGGAAAGAAGAAGGCAGCTGATCCATTCGTCCGTCAGTGTTCAGCACCAAGAACATCGGCAAGACGCTCGTTACCCGTACTCAGAACTCGTTGCTTCTGAAGGTCTGAAGCATCGTGTGTTTGAGGTATCATTGGCAGATCTCCAGAATGATGAGGATAATGCCTTTAGGAAGATTCGTCTTAGAGCTGAAGATGTTCAAGGAAGGAATGTCCTAACAAACTTCTGACTTCACAACTGATAAGTTGAACGAGGTCATTGGTACGGTGAAGAAGTGGCAATCATTGATTGAGGCTCACATGGATATTAAAACCACTGACAACTATACACTGAGGTTGTTTTGCATTGGATTTACTAAGAAGCTAGCGTGTTAATCAGCAAAAGAGAACATGCTATGCACAGTCAAGCCAGATTCGCCACAAGATGCGAGAGATTATGGTGAACCAAGCACAATCATGTGATCTCAAGGATTTGGTTCTGAAGTTCATTCCTGAGTCCATTGGCAGGGAAATATAATTGAGTTCATTCCTGGATCCAGCCACCACTATCCGTCGGACACCATGCACCACACTGCCTCGCCATCTGCTCTACTGCCGGAGTCCATTGGCAGGGAAATTGAGTTCATTTATGTTGTTGTTCATGCTGATGTTGCTGGTAAGCTACTCGACCAGAATTGCTAGCTCTCTCGACGTTAAAGCAATGAGGAGTTTGGAATTGGCTATGGTTTAATTTGTTATCTACCAGAAGTTTGTTAGGGATGCTTTTGCCTGTGGTTCTGTTATCTACCAGTAGTTTGTTAGGGATGCTTTTGCCTACCAAAGTTGGAAACAGGAAGATAAAGAAGACAAGCAATAGTTTTGAGGGTTTTTTTTTTTTTTTTTTTTTTTTTTTTTAAAGTTTCGTTAAAAAGTCTTAACCTGTTTGTTCATCTCTATTGCATTAATGTTCTTGTGTTTCTGCTGAATAGTGTTGTTGTGTGCCGTCCAATTAGTTGGACAATGAAACAGTTTGTGTATTGTCGTACTGGTTAAGCTTCTTATGTAGTCTTGAATGTTGTTATGAACATCAGTGTTGTGTCTTACCATTTTGTCTCTGCAATATCTTTCTTGGCATGAAATATTTATTTGAATCTTTTGACAATCACTAACAATGCCTTCACAAGGATGGTAACAACACATGCATATGGGAAAAAAAATGAAATTTTGTCTACAATACTCCCTTGAAAGATGTTATGATCCTCACTAATATGGATTAGAACTTTGGTCCAACCACATTTGATGTTAACTTGGAAGTTACGGCCATTGTCGAGCTTGGAAGCTACGGCCATTGTCAAGCTTGGAAGCTGTCTGCTTAGCTGCGGAGAAAGAATGAACCGACGACCACCACCATCTGCCATCATTACCGCCCAAGCGCCCAACCACACAGTTCACGTGATTTGCGACACCATCAACGAAGAGAAGACAGAAGAGGGAGGGAAGACCGAAATGACACTTTTACCCTTAAAATTGATGTCAACTTAACTAGGATCTAACGGAAGGACCACAATTGGAAATATTTTGATAGTCGGATGGTTAAATTGTCCAAATTAAAAGTCAAGGATCAATTGTGGAAAATCATCATAGTCAGGGGACCATTGCTGGAATTAACTCAGAAATTAATGATCCTGGAAAAGAAATTAATCAAAAGGAAATTTCACTCAAAATCCTACGTGGACTACCATCTACTTGGGATATGAAGGTCACCACCATGCGTGATCATAGAGATCTAAAAACCCTATCAATCGATAAGCATTTTAGTGATCTAAAAGCTTATGAGTTCGAGATGAAGTCAATGATAGAGGAAGATCATGAAGAAAAGAACAATGCACTCATAGTCGAGCAACCGTCAACTTCAAGGTCAGTATAAAATAATGAATTATTAACTAATGATCAATTTGCTCTCTTTGTCAAGAAATTTAGGAAATTCATGAAGAGGAGTAACTACAAGAAAAATCCACAAGGAAAACAATGGAATGCAACGAAAAGTCCGAGGAAAGAAATAGTTAAAGAAGATTCAAATTTGTGTTACAATTGTATAAAGCCTGGACATTTTGCAGCAAATTGTCCACACCCTAAGATAAGTAAAAGTCAATACACAAATATTTCTAACCTTCAACAGGAAGAATTCAAGACCAAAGACAAAAGATTCAACAAGGAAAGAAGAAAAGCACTTATTAGTGACCCACTAGAAACAAGTGAGTCAGAGGAATCCTCAAGTGATGAAAGTGACACCTCAAAAGATGACAATGCAATGTTGTGCATGAGTATCTCCAACAAGTCATCCTATGAAGACATGTGTCTTATGGAAAATGAAAATGAAGAAGATGAGATAACATCTAAATCTTATGACTCTGTAAATTCTTCATTCTCTATAGAGTCCATCTTTCACTTAATGAAAGATTGTCAAACTGTAATGGACACTCACTCTCAACTCAAAGAGCGCATTGATTTCTTAATTCTTGAAAAAGATGAATTAAATGAAAAATTAAAAAATTCTCTATTTGAAGTGGAAGACTTGAAGGCTAAAATTATTTATCTTCAAGAAGAGTCTAAATCAAGAGAAGTGAGAGAACACAACCTTAGAGAGGTTATAGCAACGTTTACACATTCATCCAAAATAATGGACAAAATGGTAAACATGCAAAAACCGTCAAGTGATAAAGCCGGAATTGGCTATGATCCTTCGTGTTCTCAAGCCTCTGAGAAATTGACCAATTCTACTACTACTTAAATAATAATAAAGTCCAAGTAGTAAAATTTGTAAAAGGTCAAGATAGCACAATGAGACAAGGAATTGGTTACCAAACTAATGCCAAAAATGTTGCTGCCAGGCCGAAGCCTCAAAGAAATAATATTTCGTCAAAGCAGTTAGTACAAAGGCAAAAGTTTGTTCCTAAATGGAAACATACCAATGAGTCAAGTGCACGAAGTCTTCATAGGAAAATGGGAAGAAATCCAAGAATTGGGGCAGGGAGATTTTATCCCTCTAAACAAGATTGGTTTGATGATATTAAACCATGGACTAAGTCCATATTTAATGTTTTTCATAGGCTCAAACAATCTTCTTCCCAAGTGCCAAAAAATTCAGTCAATTTTCAAAAACCGGCACCAAAAATATTTTCAAAAATTAGCTATGATTATAATGTGTTTAATGGTTACCAATCACCTAAGCTTAGATCAGTGAGTACTAGGAGGATTTGGGTACCAAAAATGACTGACACCCAAGGACCCAAATCATGTTGGGTACCTAAAAACGTGTAACTTATTTGCAGGAAATTCGGTACTTCGATAGTGGATGTTCTAGACACATGACTGAAAATAAATCTAGTCTTGTGAATTTCAAAAATATCGAAGGACCAAAAGTCATATTCGGTGAAAATGAACGATACGGCATAACCAAAGGAATTGGTACAATATCTCGCAACGGTCTAAAAATCGAAGATGTATCCTTTGTTGAAGGTCTAAAATTCAACTTGTTAAGTACAAGCCAATTTTGTGACAAAGGATATCTAGTAGAGTTCTTCAAAGAAAAATGTCAAGTGAAGAATGATTCCACGGGAGAAATTGTACTCGAAGGAACAATGTTAGGAATAAAGTGTAATGGTTTTGATATGCCAAATTTGTATTTGTAGATCCCCCAAATTTTATTTATAGGTCTAGTAGAGTCTTAGACCGTGATCGGGAAATTATTTAATTATGAAAAGAGAGAAACAAAGGAAAATGGATGAAAATAGAAGAAGAAGATATAAAGCCGAAAATCAAGAATTTGTCTGGAGAAAATGACAAATTGAAGAAGAAGATGAATGATATGAATTCACGTCGCTACTACTCAAAGAAGATATCCCAGAAGAATTTTCGTGAAGAAAATTAATATTGGAAGAATGCATGAAGTTGACTTGGAGATCAAGCATCTATGGAAAGAAAGAAGTACATCAAATATGATTGGAGATTTAATCAAAAGCTATACGGAAGAAGTGGATGATGCTTGATATATTATCCGAAATGGCTCAAGTTTAAAACTCACCATCAACAATTTTACAAGGCAAAATTTGAGAAGTCAAATTAAATTAATCTGATGGAGTTGGGCGCTAGTTTAAGCTTTGGGCGCCGATTACAAGTGGAAATTGGGAAGCAATTTCACTTGGGTGGCAATTGAGATGCAATTGGAATTGGGAGCCGATTTCATTGGGAAGCAATTTCACTTGGGTGGCAATTGAGATGCAATTGCACTTGGGAGCCAATTCAAAGGAATTGGGAGCCGATTTCATAGAAATTGAAATTGGGAGCTAGTTTCGAAGCAATTGAAATTGGGAGCCAGTTTCAGAGAAATTGAGATTAATTGAAATTGGGAGCTAGTTCAGAGAAATTGAAATTGGGAGCAAGTTTCAAATGAAATCAATTCAAGTTGGGAGCCAATGTAGAATTGAAATTGGGAGTCAATTCAAGTTGTAGTATGGGATGCAATTCAGATTAGGGACCAATTAAAAGAAGACATTGAGGAGCAATTGAATTGAGATGAAATTCAAAGAGAAGTCCAATTTCGAGGTCAACATTGAGAAGTAATTAGAGCACCAGGAGATGTTGGGAGCCAATTGCAAGTCAAAGTCAATTGGGAGCCAATTACAAAGGAGAAATTCAAATTGGGTGCCAATTACAAGCCAATTGAAATTGGGTGTCAATTACAAAGGAGAAATTCAAATTGGATGGAAGTTCAAAGCCAGTTTGAAGTCAGAGAACACCCAGACGTGAGAATGAAGAAGATGAAGCAGAACTTACAGTGAAAAATATTCTCACAAGGAAAATACTAGTCTAACTAGTATGGGATTAAAATAAAGATTATTTTTGAATCCCAAAGATACAAGGACCACTTCAGAGCTTATCAGAGAAGCCATTCTACACCAAAACTGAGAACCAGATATTTCCATCCAACGTTAAACCAGAGGAATATCAGATGAAGTTTGGGAGCTCATTTACATGGAGATGAAGATCTTTCAAACGGCTAGCTTATCTCCTTCTGACATTTTTGCAGAGGATAAGATAAGATCTCTGACAAAAGATACAAGATTTCAAAAATGAGAGCGTCTCTTTCCAACGGACAGATTCTCATTGCCAGCTATAAAATGATGAAGATGTGAAGACTTGAAGATTAGGGAAAAAGGGGAACTTACGAACAAGAGAGCAGAAAATTCGAATCCATCAAGGGATCGAATAGAGCAATTAAGCTTAAAAAAGCAGAGAGCTAAAATTTTAAGAGCTAAAATCTTCAAGTGTGAGAAAAAGAACTCAGAGAGCTTCAAGAGAAAAATATTCTGAGAGTTCTTAAACAGAGCAAAGCAGAGCAAAAATATCAAGTGCTTTACTTGATATATTCAAAGAGAGAAAACACTCAGAGCTATCAAGAGAAATCTTTCCAGAGTGTTTATCTTCATGAAAGAGACCTGCGCATCATTGAAGATCATCTACAGAGTCTCAGAAGTTGAAAGCAAGACAACACTTGTTTTGGAGCAAAACAAGAGAAGGGAGGAAAGTAGCACGGAGCTGTGAAATCCTGGATTGTCACACGGAGCTGTGAGATCCGAAGCAGCAGTGTCGGAGGCACTGGGCGTGATTGGTGTGGGCTTGGTGATCAAAACACCAGATCACGGGATACGTTTCTACCGGAGTGTGGAAGACGGGGGGAAAGTAACGCGGAGTCGTGAAATCCTGGGATAGTAGCGCGGCGACGTGAAACCCGAAGCAGCAGTGTGGTGTCACTGGGCGTGATTAGTGCGGGCTTTGTGATCAAAGCACTAGATCACGGAAATTCATTGTATCTTGGAACCAAGGAGTGGTAGATATAGTGAATTGGCTCTTGGAGAAAAGAGCAAGTGGAGTAGGAGGATTACACCACCTCGCGAACCACTATAATTGTCTTGTGTTCTTTACTGCTTTCTTTACATACCGCTCTTTACATATTTGCTCTCACGAAGATATACTGCTCACACAATCTCACACACACGTTATGTTTATTTATTTCCGCTGTGCACCATACTCTAACAATCTAGTTAAGAGTTTTGGTTTATCTCTGTCTTAGCAATTGTTGTGCTGTGCGAAAAAGTGTGAAAGTCTATTCACCCCCCCCCCCCTCTAGACTTTCACCTAACCTCTTTTGGGACCAACAATTGGTATCAGAGCCTGTAGCCTATTTGAGTCAGTTTATACCAACCTTTGGTATTTAAACACGTTGCCCAACTGGGTTAACTGTTTTTGACTGCTAGGTTGATCCATTCTACAAAGTGTGTGAATTGGATTAATATTTCATATCTCTCGTGATGATGATGAAGAAATATTTAGCTCAAAATCTATTATTCTCTCTTGATAAATTTGATGATTGGAAAGTTCGTATGCAGGTACACTTATAGGCCTTACACGATGAAATGTGGGAAGTTATTTCCACTGGCCCTATAGAAATATTAAAAGTCAATACGGCGTTTGTTATATCCCCGGATGCTCCACAGTACGTACAAAAGCCAAAACCGGAATGGACATCGGACGATAGAACGCGGAATAATCTTGACAATATTGCCAAGGATATTCTATTCAAAGCCGTTGATGATACAATATTTCCGAAGATCCGAAAGTGTGCCACTGCCAAAGAAATATGGGAAACTCTCATCAAGATTGGCGAAGGAGATGAACAAGAAAAAGACAATAAGCTCACAATCGCCATGAAGAAGTTCGAAGATTTCAAAATGCTCTCAAATGAAAGTGTTGCAGACATGGAAGCTCGAATGATCAAAGTTCTTGGAGAGATTAGTGATCTTGGCAAAAATATTAGCCAAAAAGAAATTAATCTCAAAATCCTACGAGGCTTACCATCTGCATGGGATATGAAGGTTACGGCTATGCGCGATCACCGAGATCTAAGAATGTTGTCAACAGACAAATTATTTAGTGATCTAAAAGCATATGAGTTCGAAATGAAGGCCAAAGATGATGATGTTCATGAAGCTCGAAATGCTGCTCTAATGGCCGAACAACCGTCAACCTCTAGGTCAGTAGAAAATAATGTTGATTTTATAACTGACGAACAATTTGCTCTTTTTGTCAAAAAGTTTAGAAGGTTTATGCGAAAAGGAGACAACAAAAATTCTGCTCGTGGAAAATTCTTCTCTCGCATAACACAAGAAGAAAAAGTCGAAGAAAATAAGGATTTGTGCTACAATTGCCGCAAACCCGGACATTTTAAAATAAATTGTCCGTATCCGATCGTTAGCAAGTATCAAGGCAAAAATGTTGAATCTACGCCGAACAAATCCGAAAGCAAAAGGTTCAAGCGCGACAAAAGAAAAGCTCTCGTTGGCAACGAACCAAACGAAAATGATGATTCGGAGGATTCATCATCAAGCGATGAAAGCTCATATTCGGATGATGATACGGCGCTAATATGCAAGTCAACTGAGTTGAGTACAAGTGAAGATTGTCTTATGGCTCTTGACGCAGAGGAAGAAGAGGTAAGTTCTAATTCTTTCAATTCTGTTAATTCCTATTTTTCTCGTGAATCTATTGATAATCTAATGCGAGAATGTCAAGAGATTATGCTCACTCATCCTCAACTCAAGGAGCGCAATAATATTCTAATTCTTGAAAAAGAAGAAATGAATAAAAAATTGCAAGATGCTTTACTTGAAGTGAGTAAATTGAAGAATGAAAATATTCATCTTCAAGAAGAGTGTAAAGCAAGAGAGGTTAGAGAACATAATCTTAGAGCTACTATTGCTACGTTCACTAATTCGTCTAAAATTATAGATAAAATGGTGAGCATGCAAAAGCCATCAGGAGATAGAACCGGAATTGGTTATGACTCCACATGTTCTCAAACCCCACAAAATCTGACTAATTCTACTACTACTTTAAATAATAAAGTTCAAGTGGTAAAATTTGTTAAAAGTCAGAATAGCACGATGAGACAAGGACTTGGCTATCAATCAAACGCAAAGTTGAATGTTGAAAGGCCGAAACAAGTCTATACTACGGCAAAGCCACAAAAATTCTACAAGCAAAGATATGCCAAAGAGTCAAGTGCAAAAAGATTTCATAGAAAAGAGGGAAGCTTTTCTAGAAATAAAGTTGGGAGATTTTATCCCACTCAAAAAGATTGGTTGTGCAATAGATGTAATACTTTTTATAGATCAAAACAACCATTCTCTTCCCAGGTGCCAAAATATAAAAATAATTTTCAAAACCCGGCGCCAAAAATATTTTCTAATGTGAGTTATGATTATCGTGTCTCTAATGGTTACAAATCGCCTCATCTTAATTCAATAAGATCAAGGTGGGTTTGGTTACCAAAAATCACTAACAGTAAAGGACCCAAGCAAGTATGGGTACCTAAAATTAATTAATCTTTTTTGCAGGATGTTTGGTACATCGATAGTGGTTGCTCACGCCACATGACTAGAAATAAATCATATCTAGTGAATTTCAAAGAAATCGATGGACCAAAAGTTATATTCGGAGGAAATCAAAATTATGGAATTACAAAAGGAGTTGGCATGATCAAGAAAAATGGTTTGAAGATTGAAGATGTTTCTTTCGTTGAAGGATTAAAATTTAATTTGTTGAGCACTAGTCAATTTTGTGATAAAGGCTATCTTGTAGAATTTTCTAAAGATAATTGCCTAATAAAAAATGAGCTCACAAATGAGATTATTTTATCTGGAAAACGACGAAAGAATATGTATATTGTGGATTGGAGCACTAGCAAAGATTCAGTGTGCTTAATGGCCAGAAATTCAAATGAAGCTAATTGGGAATGGCACAGAAAGCTCAACCACTTAAACTTCAAGACCATCAATCAGCTTGCAAAGAAGAATCTAGTAGAAGGCTTGCCAGATATTATCTTCAAGAAGGACCAAGTGTGTGATGCATGCCAATGCGGAAAGCAAATCAAATTGGGAGCTAGTTTCGAAGCAATTGAAATTGGGAGCCAGTTTCAGAGAAATTGAGATAAATTGAAATTGGGAGCTAGTTCAGAGAAATTGAAATTGGGAGCAAGTTTCAAATGAAATCAATTCAAGTTGGGAGCCAATGTAGAATTGAAATTGGGAGCCAATTCAAGTTGTAGTATGGGATGCAATTCAGATTGGGGACCAATTAAAAGAAGACATTAAGGAGCAATTGAATTGAGATGAAATTCAAAGAGAAGTCTAATTTCGAGGTCAACATTGAGAAGTAATTGGAGCACCAGGAGATGTTGGGAGCCAATTGCAAGTCAAAGTCAATTGGGAGCCAATTGCCAATTACAAGCCAATTGAAATTGGGTGTCAATTACAAAGGAGAAATTCAAATTGGGTGGAAGTTCAAAGCCAGTTTGAAGTCAGAGAACACCTAGACGTGAGAATGAAGAAGATGAAGCAAAACTTACAGTGAAAAATATTCTCACAAGGAAAATACTAGTCTAACTAGTATGGGATTAAAATAAAGATTATTTTTGAATCCCAAAGATACAAGGACCACTTCAGAGCTTATCAGAGAAGCCATTCTACACCAACACTGAGACCCAGATATTTCCATCCAACGTTAAACCAGAGGAATATCAGATGAAGTTTGGGAGCTCATTTACATGGAGATGAAGATCTTTCAAACGGCTAGCTTATCTCCTTCTGACATTTTTGCAGAGGATAAGATAAGATCTCTGACAAAAGATACAAGATTTCAAAAATGAGAGCGTCTCTTTCCAACGGACAGATTCTCATTACCAGCTATAAAATGATGAAGATGTGAAGACTTGAAGATTAGGGAAAAAGGGGAACTTACGAACAAGAGAGCAGAAAATTCGAATCCATCAAGGGATCGAATAGAGCAATTAAGCTTAAAAAAGCAGAGAGCTAAAATTCTAAGAGCTAAAATCTTCAAGTGTGAGAAAAAGAACTCAGAGAGCTTCAAGAGAAAAATATTCTGAGAGTTCTTAAACAGAGCAAAGCAGAGCAAAAATATCAAGTGCTTTACTTGATATATTCAAAGAGAGAAAACACTCAGAGCTGTCAAGAGAAATCTTTCCAGAGTGTTTATCTTCATCAAAGAGACCTGCGCATCATTGAAGATCATCTACAGAGTCTCAGAAGTTGAAAGCAAGACAACACTTGTTTTGGAGCAAAACAAGAGAAGGGAGGAAAGTAGCACGGAGCTGTGAAATCCTGGATTGTCACACGGAGCTGTGAGATCCGAAGCAGCAGTGTCGGAGGCACTGGGCGTGATTGGTGTGGGCTTGGTGATCAAAGCACCAGATCACGGGATACGTTTCTACCGGAGTGTGGAAGACGGGGGGGAAAGTAACGCGGAGTCGTGAAATCCTGGGATAGTAGTGCGGCGACGTGAAACCCGAAGCAGCAGTGTGGTGTCACTGGGCGTGATTAGTGCGGGCTTTGTGATCAAAGCACTAGATCACGGAAATTCATTGTATCTTGGAACCAAGGAGTGGTAGATATAGTGAATTGGCTCTTGGAGAAAAGAGCAAGTGGAGTAGGAGGATTACACCACCTCGCGAACCACTATAATTGTCTTGTGTTCTTTACTGCTTTCTTTACATACCACTCTTTACATATTTGCTCTCACGAAGATATACTACTCACACAATCTCACACACACTTTATGTTTATTTATTTCCGCTGTGCACCATACTCTAACAATCTAGTTAAGAGTTTTGGTTTATCTCTGTCTTAGCAATTGTTGTGCTGTGCGAAAAAGTGTGAAAGTCTATTCACCCCCCCCCCCCCCCCTCTAGACTTTCACCTAACCTCTTTTGGGACCAACAAACAAGGAAGAAGAATATGTACATAGTTAACTGGAGTACAACCAAGGGATCAATATACTTGATGGCAACAAATTCAACTGCAACAAGTTGGGAATAGAACAATAGATTAAATCGTCTAAATTTCAAGACCATCAACAAGTTCGCAAGAAATAAACTCGTTGACGGTCTACCCGACATTTTCTACAAGAAAGATCAAATATGTGATGCTTGCCAAAGAGGAAAACAAATCAAGTCATCATTCAAATCCAAGACACAAGAATCTACAACAAGACCGCTAAGTCTACTGCATATGGATCTATTTTGTCCAGTAGACCCAGTAAGTATAAGTGGTAAGAAATATACACTAGTTGTTGTTGATGATTTTTCCAGGTACACATGGACGATATTTCTCAAGAATAAAAATGAAGTGGAACAAAAGCTACCGGAACTTCTAAAGCTACTACAAAACGAGAAAGACTTGAAAATTGCAAAAATTCGAACTGATCGTGGAACCGAGTTCATGAATTAAGTAATTCAAGGCTTCTGCAATTCTCAAGGAATTCTACATCAATTATCTGTCGCACGTACACTGCAACAAAATGGTGTAGCCGAAAGAAGAAATAGAACGTTAAAAGAAGCCGCATGTGCGATGATTACATCAGCCGATCTACCTAAAAGATATTGGGCTGAAGCAATCAACACCGCATGCTATACGCAAAATCGAAGCTTGATACACAAGTCTTACAACAAAACTCCGTACGATTTATGGAAAGGGAGAAAACCTAAACTCAACTATTTTCATACTTTTGGTATCAAATGCTTTATTCTGAATAATGGTAAAACATATCTAAAGACTTTTGATGAGCGTGCAGATGAAGAAATATTTTTGGGATATTCATCTACCAGTAAAGCTTTCAGAGTATTGAATTAAAGATCAATGGTGATAGAAGAATCAATTTATGTTACATTTGATGAAGTCCATAAGAAGGGAACCCAAAGCAACAAAAATGATCAGGAAAGTTGTTAAGTTGAAAAATCATTTAATGATGCTGACATATCTTTTAAAGATAATGTTGTACAGGGAATAGAGCAAGTGGACATTGATTACAATAGTGAAGGACAAGTGGAAACAAATGAAGAACCACACATGGGAACTCTAAATTCTCAAGCAGAAACACGAGTTGGAGAACAATCTGAGAAGCAAATTGAGTCTACCTCCAACTTAACTACTGAGCAAGGAAACTTGGAAAATCCATGCAATCCACAACCTGACTTGAGATGACTCAAAAATCACCCTCCTGAGCTAGTAATTGGAGATCCACGAGAAGGAGTAAAAACAAGATCATCAACTTTAGATGCTTTATTTTCATGTTTTCTTTCTCAGGTGGAACCCACAAGTATCAAAGAAGCCTTATATGATCTGGACTGGATTAATGCAATTGAAGAAGAGCTGGATCAATTCAAAAGAAATAATGTATGTGAATTAGTTCCAAGACCCGAAAATCACAATGTGATTGGAACAAAATGGGTTTTTCGGAACAAAGCCAATGAAGAAGGAATTGTTGTTCAAAATAAAGCAAGATTAGTGGCAAAAGGATATTCACAAGAAGAAGGAATAGACTTCGACGAAACATTTGCACCAGTCGCAAGACTCGAAGCTATCAGAATATTTCTAGCATATGCCGCATACAAAAATTTCACAGTCTACCAAATGGACGTGAAAAATGCATTCTTAAATGGCTTACTTGAAGAAGAAGTCTACGTCGAATAACCACCCGGTTTCGAGGTAAAAGGTGATATTAACAAGGTATACAAGCTAAAGAAAGCATTATATGGGTGAAAACAAGCACCTAGAGCTTGGTATGATACTCTATCAACGTTTCTAATTAGTTGTGGATTTAAAAAAAAAAAAAAAAGGCCTTGTTGATAAAACCTTATTTAGAATTCAAGAAAATGATCATATTTTATTGGTACAAATTTACGTTGATGATATTATTTTTGGAAGTACTAATAAAACTTTATGTGAGAAATTTTCCAAGCTCATGCAGAATAGGTTTGAGAAGAGCATGATTGGAGAATTGAATTACTTTCTTATATTACAAGTAAAGCAACTCAACGATGGAATATTCATCAATCATGCCAAATACACAAAAGATCTCATAAAGAAGTTTGGATATATCCTACTCTGTGGGAGTATGTGCTAGGTTCCAATCAAAGCCAAAAGAAAGTCATTTTCTTGCCACCAAGAAAATCATTTGATACCTAAAAGGAACAATCAATGTGGGATTATGGTATCCCAAAGAAGGTAATTTTACACTAACTAGTTTCTCAGATGCAGATTTTGCAAGGTGTAAAATCAATCGAAAAAATACCTCAGGGACATGCCAGTTCTTAGGGGGGAAGATTGGTATCATGGTTTAGCAAAAAGCAAAACTCCATAGCTACAAGCACAGCTGAAGCTGAATATATACCTGTTGGGAGTTGTTGTGCACAAATTCTTTGGATGAAACAACAACTGAGAGACTACAGCGTGAATTGCGATAATGTTAGCATATTTTGTGACAATACAAGTGCCATCGCAATTACTCAAAATCCCGTGTTACATTCAAGAACTAAGCACATTGACGTGAGACATCATTTTATTCAGGATCACATCGAAAAGAAGGATCTAAAACTAGAATACATCCCAACCGAAAATCAAACAGCTGATATTCTCACAAAGCCCTTGTGCGAATCAAGATTTGCAAAATTGAGACACGAAATGGGCATGATCGAATTGAGCTAAGTTCCTAAACCTCATTTAGTTATAAGCTCAATTTTTCATACGAATTAAATTATCTTATATACTAAAGTTTTTTTTTCCGGTCACATATTTATATTTTTTTTTTGTATTTGTCTATTTCTCTTACATGCAATATCTATCTCATTTATGTTTGACAAGATAGTTGTGATGATTGCCTATTAGTAAATAAGAGCAACTAGTTATGGTAGTTGTAAGCATTTACTCTAGTTACTCCTCCAAATTTATTTATTCATTTACTTATTTAAATGTTATTTTTTCGGCTAATATTATTATTAACATTATTATTATTTTTGGAACAGATTTAGTGCTCTATAAATTTTATTTCAGGTAAAATTTGTTCTAGTACCTCAAATTTTGGCGCCACACAGCCGACAAATTGGATGGAGAATATAAAACCTAAACTGACTATCAGTTAAGTCAAAGGTTGGAATTTCTTGAAAATCTCGAAAAGCTTGAGGACATTTTTTGTAAAAACCTTCTCCACCTAATCGGTCAAACGTCACCTTTTTCAATCCAAAATCATACTCAACACCTTTTCGAAACTTTTCATCTTCCATAGCCGAGACATCCTAAAACCTTACCTTTCTCAATCTTCATCAAATCTTAACCACATTATGGCAAACATTAGAGATTCAAGCTCACAACTGAATGGAGAACAACTCATACCGATCAATCTTACCAAACTTGCAACAGATATCAAGGTTGGAGGCAGTTTTGACCCCAATGGATTTCTCAAGACGGCCAAGAACTCGGAGTTATCTCAGAAAATCATTCGTGCAATTCAAAACAGTGGTCTAATGAGGTTATGTTCCTACTCTTATTCTGGATACTATGATGAAGATGTAGCAGATTTTTATGTCAACGCCTCATCTCCATTGATGAAAATGAGTTACATTCAACTTTTGAATTGCCCATGTCTAGTCCAGAACAACCATTGTTGGATTTAGACATGAATGCTTATGACCATGCTGAGGTCTGGGCAGAGATTCGAAATGAAATTGCATCTATTGAGCCTGACCTTTCTGGTCATAAATCTGATTTAAAGACAGAATATCAAATGTTGATCAGCATTATCTACAAATGTGTTTTGTGCAAGTTAAATAGTATGGAGGACATATCTCCTACAAGGATAGGTTATTTGCATGCTTTAATATCTGGGGTTAGGGCAGACTGGAACAAGTTGATATTAAGCAGAATTGCTCACTTTGTAACAGGTGCAAAAATTAAGAATGGGAGATTCAGTCGAGTTCTGGGCTTTGGTTTGCTAATAGGAGAAATAGTGAAGCAAAAAGGATTGACTATGAGAGTGAGGAAGCCTTTTGGGAACAATCGGATTCTCTATAAAGATCAAGAAATTTTAACTGAGTCCAACCCCAAAAGAAAAAGAAAAACCAGAATGATACCAGCCAGAAAAAGATTGGTAAAAGACATCATTAGTGGAAATCTTCAAACTCCACCCCAACCTCACAACACTGAAAATTCAAGCCACAATCCTACTTCAAGCCACAATCCAAATTCAAGCCAAAATCCCACTTCAAGCCACAATCCTACTTTAAGCCACAACCACAATCCAAGCCACACTCATACATCTAGCCACGACCACAACCTAAGCGAAACTCACACTTTAACCCTCAATCAAAATGCCAACCAAAACACTGTCCTCAATCTCACAAATCCAACCTCTCGGGTAGAATCTTTGGAAGAAGTTCAAAGTGAGATAATATGCCAATTTGATGGATTAGATTCGGTTTTGTTGAGTGAATACCAAAGAGTATTGAACTGGAGAAATTGGAGACTTGATACATATCAAGAGTTTATGACACGGGGGCCTTGTATGGAAAATGAAGAAATCTTTTCTTTGAACTGGATTGGATGTCAAGTAGTTGCCCAAGCTACAAAGTTGTCAATTATTAATGCTGCATTTCTAGCCAAACTGAAATAAAAAATGGCCGAGAATGTTCAAGTCAATACAGTCCAAGAAAACCTGCCAACCGGAGATGAATTCTTAGATGATGATGACTTTGATAGAACTCTTGAACTATCTAGACAAGTCACAAATCCGGAAGCTATTAGTGGTTCACATTCTCAGTTTTTTTGTCATAATATGGTGAGTCCAACTTTTATGGACATTGGTCTTTATGATGTGAGTATATTGAATCAAACTGAAATTAGCAATGAAAACCAAACCATGCAAGCCAGTCACCATGCTAAGGAAGCACATTCACAACATCTAGAAAGTGGTCAAAATGACACGTTTGTGTTGGAGGATCACACACCAGAAAGAGCAAGAAATGTGCAAGAAAATCAAGCACAACCTCACATGCTTGGAGATAATTCTGCTCAAGAAGGAGCAAGACCTCAATCCACAAACCAAG